TTGAGTTTGAGTTGGTAAAGTATGGTTCCACAAAACAGATGGAATTGATGTAAAATCAAGGTAAAACTATATGGTTGAAGTGCACTCTTGGTAGGGTTTAGGTCAGGGGTGTCCAAACTCGGTCCTGGAGGGCTGGTGTCCTGGAGAGTTTAGCTCCAACCCTAATCAAACACACCTGAACCAGCTAATCAACCTCTTACTAGGTATACTAGAAACTTCTTGGCAGGTGTGTTGAAGCAAGTTTGTAGCTAAACTCAGCAGGACACCGGCCCTCCAGGACTAAGTTTGGACACCTCTGGTTTAGGTCAATGGTTTGCTAAGTTATGAGTACGATCTAGCCCTTATGGATGTGTACAACAAGGACGTTTATCTAAAACATAAAATGTACCCTGAGTAACACATTTTGCATTGTGCTCTCTAGTGCAGTAGTCCCCAACATCCAGGGTATAGATGAGTACCAGGACTCACATGAAATCATTAATTATTTCCGTTTATTTATTATGTGAGTCTAGACAATATTTTATTTTTAAAAAGTTATTTATTTTTGTTCAAAAATTATTGTATTTACTCTGTTATCTCGGTCATCTGAGCTAGCAAAAAGAGTAGGAAAGTTTTTAGAAAGGAAAGTTTTTAGAAAGTTTCTTTGCGAAGGGGAAAAGGTCCAGTAAAGGATGCAAGACCTGCCATTGAATGGATCCGCAACACATTTTTCAACAAATCAGGTGAATCCACCTGTGCAAGATCAACCACTAGAGATTGTAAAATGATGGCGGCCGTTCATATATCGCGTTTTTTCCTGTGCGCTAGTTCGTTATTCTCAACGGTGGCCATGGGCCAGGAGTGTGGAGGCCACTTTATACTTCTGCGTCAAGTGATCGGCATGACCCATGGCACCTGTCTTGCGTGTAGTTGTGCATTTATACTTCTGCGTGCTGTATGTGTTGCTCTACAATAACACTTCCGAAACACTAGCTGGCAGTAGGTTATGTTTTTTTCCTCTGTGTCGAGTTTTTTATGCGGGTGTTTTATTTTTTCTGAATGTTACCTTAATGTACAAGTAGCTAAAACTCGCTCATTCAGAGGCAGGAACTGGCGGACGTGCAACAACTTTAATCATAAAGTAAACACAAAACAAAAGTTTTCATCTGGAGCTCCTTCACAGGACTCAACACTTGTAAACACTTGCTCCAACAGGTTCGCACAGCTCTCTGTCCCACCCACACTGGTCACAGCTACCAAGCCGACCAATCCCACAGCTTGCACCATGCGTCATTGCGACGTGTAGTTAAATTTTTGGAGAGGTCAGCGTCACCATCAGCCACAGCCAGGGCTATGCGACCGCGTGAAGGCTGTACCGGAGCATATGCGTGTACTTGGGCTGCAGTAAAATTATCATTTGTTGACCGGTCCGTGGCTAGGACCACTGTAGTGGTGGATTTGTCTGAATGAAATGTACCTGGAGCAATGTATTTTACTTATATTTTAATGTGCCTTCCTTTATTCATAATCCTAGCTCCAAAATAAGTATCCCCTCTCTTCTTCTCCCCACCACACCACACAAAACCCTCAAACATTATGCATAGGCCTGTCATTATATCTATTATTTGTTCTAAAATATAAACAATATTATTGTCATTTTAAGACCATTTTATGCCACTCATTATATATTGCCAGAATGAAAATACAATATCATCACAATCCAAGTACAATCTTCCAAAGGACATATATTTTTTTCTTAAGAATTTTTCATTTAATTATAGTCCTTTTAACAATTGAATAATAAGGAAATGGATATAAGGAATGTGAACATTTGCATAGATAGATAGATAGATAGATAGATAGATAGATAGATAGATAGATAGATAGATAGATAGATAGATAGATAGATGGATGGATAGATAGATAGATAGATAGATAGATAGATAGATAGATAGATGGATGGATGGATGGATGGATGGATGGATGGATGGATGGATAGATAGATAGATAGATAGATAGATAGATAGATAGATAGATAGATAGATAGATAGATAGATAGATATAGTTGACTGCAAAGCTCTAAGGAATGTGAACATTTGCATCACTAGTCATTTTAATGGTTTTAAAACACGTCCCTCTACACTGTATATGTATATATGTATGTATATATATATATGTGTGTGTGTGTGTGTGTGTGTGTATATATATATATATATATATATATATATATATATATATATATATATATATATATACATACACACACATACACACACAC